AGCCCGACTTCGTGCGACTGAGCAGTCGCTTGATGAAGGGCGGCAAGCAAGCGGCCAAGCAAGTGCGGGACGACCGCCCCGCCCCGCCGCCGCCGACCGCCCCGCCTCCCGCCATTTGCGACTTCGGCGCCTACCAATCCATGTACGGGACGATGAACGCGTACCATATGTACGCTCATCCAGGAATGGTGCCTCCGCCAGGGATGGTGCCTGGCCAATCGTCACACTCTTGGTCGCCTCCGCCAGGGATGATGCCGAAGCCCAAAGCGCCACCGCAAGATGCGCCCTCACCACAGGAGGCGCCCCCGCCTGCGGCCCCACCAGCCGCGGGAGGAATGCCCGCCCCGCTCGGCGACTTATCTGATGAGGAGGCAGCGCTTCGCAAGACAATGCGCAAGCGTAAGGAGGCCGTGGCCCTGAGTAAACGTCCAGCAGCTGCTGGGGGCGATGCCGATGGCGTCGAGGGCGCCGACGACGATGGCGACGAACTTGCCGACGAGGAGGGGGGCCCGCCGAAGAAGGTCATGAAGGGCGCCCCGCCGAAGAAGGCCATGAAGGTGGTCATGCGGAGGCCCTCGGCGAAGCCGAGGCCCACGGCGAAGCCGAAGCCGCTGCCCAAGGCCCCGCTGACGGGGGCCCCGAAGATCGAGTACCGCGCGGGGTATATACTCACGCAGCCAGACAAGTCCCAGTACAGGGCTGTCCTGGGGCGGTCCGACAGGCGCATCCGCTGGGACACGGGCAGCACGCGCCAGGAGGCTTTCACCAAGGCGATGAAGTTCATAGACGAGCGCTCGTAGCCGCTTGTCTGCTCTGCTCATCGCCGATCGCGACTTCTCGCGATTTGTTTCGCTGTGCTATAACGCTTGTGTGCATTGTTCATGTATGCCTGCATGGTGCAATGTAAAATGCAAGTTCATGTATGCCTGCATGGTGCAATGTAAAATGCAAGTCGTTGTTCCATCGTATGCGAGGGGCACCCGTCGCACAATCCTCTGTTGCGATTGCAGATATCGCATTCATGCTACCATCACTCAGTAGCAGTTTTGGCTCAAGCCATGTCGGCGGGGCCACCGAAGCGTCGCAAGACAGACGCCGAAGCACTGATTGAGTTACACAGAGGCCCATATGTATCTGAGCGGAGTCTTACATACATTCTCAAGTACGTACGAGATAATGGTATACCAGGTAACATTTCGCGTTATGCGCAGTACAGCGCAAGGCAGAAATTAATCGGTGCCGAATCGAACCAGTACGGTGACGTGCTTGTCGGCATTGATATGCCATTGAACAGCGGTAAGAGCTTCAAGAACTGGGCGTGCGCCCCTGGCCCGTACTTGTACTCGACGGCGAAACGGAGTAAGGGGTTCAGAGATCTGTTGCGCCGCCAGCTCGCCAAGCACCCGTGCTCCCTAGCATCCCCATGGCGCATCTGCTTATATTTCGACGGTATCTCACCGCGTGACCCGTTGGCCAAGGGCAAAGACCACCGAGGGGTGGATGCTGTATACTGGTCGTTTCTAGAGTTCGATGAGTTTTTGCAGGACGAAGACGCATGGCTCGTGCTCAGCACCGCTCGGGTTTCCAAAGTGAGGGACATGCCTGGAGGGATCGGGCAGTCGGTTGCAATGACGTGCAACGAGCTCATGTTCAATACGTCTGGCGGGGTGAACTTTCGTACGACTGGAGTTATCTTGGACGTGTCAGAAGCAGGGGATGCCACAAGGCACGCGACTATAATCGCGAGGTTGGGCTGCACTGTGGGCGACGAAGAAGCCCTCCGTGAATTCCACATGAACAAAGGGCACGCGGGCACCAAACCGTGTGCCATCTGCAGGAACGTGCTCAACCAGAAGTTCGACTATGCGTCGCACGACACGTCTGGTACATTTATATCGGACGCATGCCTCGACAGAAGCAAACGCGTCGTCAACACAGACGCGCAGATCGTTGCTATCTTGGAAAGGCTACGCCCCGACTGGGAGAGGCACGACCGCGGTGAGATTAGCGACAACAAGTGGAAGGAGATCACGCAGCTAAAGGGTTGGAACTTTCATCCGACGCACGTTGCCTTGGACGCCAACCTCGCCTACGGTGTCATGTCGCTCCTCTGCTTCGATTGGATGCACATCTATAGCGTCAATGGCATCGTAGCTAAAGAAGTGAAAGCTTTCACTGAGAACAAGGCGGTTTGCAAACTCTGCAGCGCCGAAGATCTCAACGACTATCTTTCAAACTGGACATGGCCCCACAAGTTTCATGCCGCCAATGCCGTGTTCGCACAGGGCGAACTACAAGCAAACGCATCGCAAGAGCTGTCTATGATTCCCGTGCTGGCGCACTTCATCAGGCAAGTCATTGCCAAGCTGCCTGATGCAGGCACCATCTCGGGTCAGATTGCAAGTTTACTTGCACTGTGCGATGCCATTGATATGGTTATTCTCTCGTCCAGGGGCCTCGCGACTGCACGTGAGCTGGATGTCGCCGTGATGAAGCATTTGGAGCTACACACGCGCACATACGGGACTAAATATTGGGTTTACAATCACCATATGGCAACTCATCTTGCCGACATGTACTTCAAATTCGGACCCTTGAACTGCTTCGTCCACGAGCGGAAGCACAAAGTTTGCAAGAAGTTTGCAAAGGACCATCTGTGCATGAGGACCCCCGAGAAGTCATTGATGATGCAGCTCACGGCGCAGCACAGTTACGACATGGAGCACTTCAGCATCTCAACGACGCTGGTCGACCCCGTAGCCGCCACCAAGAAGCTCATGGGCGTCTTGAAGGAGTTGCGTCCGCAAACGCAATCGGCATCATCGAGCCTCACGGCGTGGACCAAGTACGGGCCGATCCATAGAGGAGACACATGCTTGCTGGGACGTGCTGCAGGACATGCAGCCGTGCAGGTCTGGTTCCATGTAGATTGTGACACAGAGACTGCGCCCTCAGGGCCTCTATGCTTAGTCTTGGAATTGCAGACTCGGCACGTGCACAGCGCAGATTACTATTCTAGGTACTCCATAGACGAAGATAATAATCCCGTGCTCATTCCTTTGGACTCGCTGAGGCACCCTGTGATTAACAGGCGTCTCGGCGATGCAATCACTTGCATTTGGCCAGTTGAGTATCGCAAATTGGAATGCTGACGCGTTTGCGATGTAGAAGTATACATCTTCACATCAATGAATACATCTTCAAAACATCCCGCAAGAAACACAACATCGAAATTGAAACAACAACGCCCCAAAATCAAGTATATGTTAGCCGAAAAACTATCATGTTATCCGAAATAAATCAACATGCTAACTTTTATAAATGAGTTATAACTAAGTTATAACTCCGCCTAACAGTTACTAACTTCAAATGCCTTCAGGAAGCGCACCGCGGAGGTAAGCCAAATCGGCTATACACAATATTACTTTTACGCAACTTATAACCTACTTAGCCTATCCTCATCTATCTGCGCGTCGGGCTTACAACCAGCTCGCTATCCTGGTTAGGTATTCTGGGAAGTAGGTTAGAAGTATGGCGTATCCAAGTTACGAAGTTTTTTTTTGGTTGCATGTAGTCTGGTTGGCTGAGTTGGGGAGGGGCATTTCCACGGTGCTCTGGTCGCAGACGTTTGATCTTAGGACGGCGAAATTCAATCGTAAGACCCCCCCCTGAATGTGTTGAAGCCTTTGAGTGGAAGCGGGGGTGCGTGCGGGAGTTTGCTATCAAGGTGTGCTTATCCATCACGTGTCTCGCCCTGTTGCTCCTTCTTGGCCGTTTCTCTCTCTCTCTCTCTCTCTCTCTCTCTCTCTCTCTTTTCTCTCTTTCTTTCTTTCTTTCTTTCTCTCTCTCTCTCTCTTTCATATATATATAGAGATGGCGGGCATCCTTCCATTATTCCTTCACGTTTTGTAGCACTCCTCCTCCTAGTCGTCATCATGTTATTATCGTCCTTTTCCTCCTCCTCCTCTTCCTCCTCCCCTCTCCATATCCCCCCGTCCTGCTCCTTCACCTTATCGGTATCCTCAGTGATGCTTGTCCTTCTCCTCCCCGGTCTCCTCCTCCTCGTCCTCCTCCTCGTCCTCCTCCTCCTCCTCCTCCTCCTCCTCCTCCTCCTCTTGCTCCTCATCGTATTCCTCCTCCGACCCCCCTCCCATTCGCCACAGCGATCCCGTGGGCGCGGGGGTCTCTGGATGGTAAGTTGTATCCCCCCCCACCCACCACACTGCTTCAGTATTGATGCGCGTGTTCTGCGTCACCCGAAATCGGCGCCTTCGGGTTACCTCGAAAATACTTTGGGGGAGGGGTCTAGATTGAAGGGCCAACATGGTCCTGAGCCGCCCGCCTGCAGGAAGAGAACTGTTGATGGGGGGAGGGGGGGGGGGAATCAAACCAAACTGCCCACCCCCTCCCATTCTCCCTCCTCCACTCTGCTGCTGCTGCTGCTGCTGCTGCTGCTGCTGCTGCTTCTGCAACTTCCCCACCCCTCCTTCCACGGCCGTTTTGGCTCCATCCAGTCGCTTGGAAGCTAAGGCTTCTCGCTTCGAGGCTTGCTGCCCGAAAGCCCCGGAGCATCTCCATTCAGGCGAGAACCGAGCATGGCGATGCACCAGGCACCAGTGGCCACTCTGACGGACATCGCCCCGACAATTCAGGACGTCATCAATCGGTATGCCAGTGCCGACGACGAGGAGGCTACCCAGCAAAAGGCTGCTGCCGATCAACTCGTCCGCGTTCTCCTGGACAAGGGTTTAGCCTACCGTTTGCAGATCGAGTGTGATTCTGTCGGCGTGCACTATGCGAACAGATTTGGAGCGGGAGTTGAATGGTATGAAGTTCAGTCGTTGTTGGGCATCATCGTCCGCAGCGGGTGGCCGTTAAGCGAGATCAAGGATCCTTTGTGCATCGAGATGGCGGACGGCCCCGAGGGCTGAGAGCAGTTCACGTTAAACGAAGATCTCGCCAATAGCAGCGATGGCCACCTGGCTGTAGTGTCGCCCCTGATGAAGTTCCTGAGATTAGCCTGCAGCCATGCCAATCAGGTCCTGCGCTGCACCAAGCATGCCACAAAATCTCATGAGCTTGCCTTTACGGGCGACGACCAGCGATTGAGCGAGGATAAGATCTACAACGCCTGCAGCAGTATCCGCGCTCCTGTGTCGCAGGGCTTGGGCTAGATAGTGATTCGCAAGGAGTTCGCGGCTGCGCTGCCCGATCTCGCCGGCTTCCTCTCCGAGTCCCACAACATCGGGCATGGCGCCCACCGCGCGCAGAGCAAGGTCCAGACCTTGCTGCAGGTCCACGCGAAGGCGCTGCGGAATAAGCAACTGCACGGCGACTCGAAGTGGGAACTCGTGGCCAGGGACATTGAGCGCGCCAGGCCGTTTCTCTCGGGACAGATTCGTCAGATGACGGGCGTCGCGCAGAACTACAGCGGCGGTGGCCAGCCAACGTTTTTGCACGAGCCGAAACACTACGCCAAGACCTTGGATACAGTGCGCGACGTTGGCGGCACCACGTTCGCTGTCCTCGGGTTCGCTAAGCTGCATCAGGTGCCCAAGCTGGTCATCGCCATGATGAAGGCTTCCATGCGCGCGCCGGAGCAGCACCTGAGGGGCAATGGCGTTCGCTTGTTCACGAGCCCGGACGCTGCGGCAGCGGAGTCTGGCAAGATTCGCACGGTGGCCTTCGACGCTGTCGGGGAGCGCGCGGCAGCACACCACCTGAAGACGCGCAACGTCACGGACTGCCACGTCGAGGCCAAGTTGATCGGAGACCTGGGCGCGAAGCTCGTCATGCATGTCTTCGGCAAGAAGGCTCGCGGGCGCCCGACGCATGCCAGCGTGGGCGCCATCATGCGGGAGTTCGTCGTGGACTTGAAGCGGTCCTGGCCGAGCGCAGCTGGCACCCCTGATCCGCGGAGCTGCCCTGATGACCAGAACGAGAGCACGGCCACCGCCACGAGCGCGGACTTCGTTCAGCACGACGCCTCCGCAGGCGCTGCGCCAGTCATGCGCGCGGGCGCCTTGCAGTTCAAGAGCTTCGAGGTCGGCGCCCTGGTCAAAAGCGCTCGCGGGGGCGACCTCGGCGAGCGGACCATCGAGCACATCGGCGGCCAGGTGAGGGGGGGGGGGGGGGGGCAGGAAAAGGAGGAAGAGGAGGAACGGAAAGGGAGGAGGACCAGCATGAGGACGGGATGAGGAGGAGGAGGAGGAGGAGGAGGAGGAGGGGGGGGAGGACGGGGGGGAAGGAGGAGGAGGGGGAGGAGGAGGAGGAGGAGGAGGAGGAGGAGGAGCCAGAGGATGAGGAGGGGGAGGAGGAGGGGCCCCCTCCTCCTCCTCCTCCTGCCCCTGCCCCAGGCCAAGCCGGCCCCCCCCGACTCGGGCGCCTCGGGGGCCAAGAGGCGCAAGCCAGGGCCCGACAGCATTGCCATCAGCGCCAGCAAGCTCGCTGACGACTTCGAGGTGATCAAGACCGCAGAGGCCACTACGATCACCGCGCATCAGGAGAAGGCCCTGCAGCTGATAAACATGGACTGCGCGCTCGAGAGAGCCCGCTCGACTTTCAGGGTCGCGCTGCACGCTGCGCACTCAGAGAGGGCGGACACCGTCAACGCGTCGATACTGTTCAGCAAGGGCGCCAAGACGTGCATCTCCAATGAGAAGTGCGACAAGGGCGGCCTTGCGCTGGCGCCGCTCACCCCCACCATAGGGGCCGGCCCGAGAGCAACGCCGAACGCGGTGGTCTGCAGCGATACGATGGCCGACGGCAAGAGCATCATGTATTTGGTTCCGAAGGTGGTGATGCCGCCCCCTCATGGTTGGGCTCGCATCGTTCCATTTTGGAACGTCCCGACAGCAGTGGACACGGCTCTCGTCAATATGGCAGCTAGCGCGATCAAGGCGCCAGTAGAGGTGCGCAATTCCATTTCTTCTTTCAGTGAATCAACGAGCAGCTGCCAGACAGTGCACATCCCAGTCCTCGTCAACATTAAGCCGCTCAGCAAAGGCACAGAGCTTTACCAGAAAAGCTCAGCTGCCCCTGCCAAGCCACAGGCCAAGGCGGCCTCGTCGAGGACGTGAGTTTGCACGTTGCGCTCGAGGCCCCCGCCTGCCGCTTGCCGTCTGCTCGGAGCGATCACTGATTCGACCAACAATGAACAATCACACACAACATATTCAAGCATGTGATTCTACGCGAAAGCCCCGATCTGCATCTGGCGCACCTTCGTCGGGGATCAGCCCGACGCGATGGCGCCTCAAGTTTAGTTTGCTCTCGCAGGTGTCTGCGAATTCTTTGTTTTGACAGCGCTGGGCGTCGCTCCGACGCTACTGCAATGAATTAGCGCCTCCTCCGCCCTCGGCCCTCCAACCGCCACCTTCCCCCCTCTGCTCAATTTTGTTGTTTTTTTTTTTTGGGGGGGGGGCTTGGGGTAGCCAAGGACGAGACGCGTGCTGTCGAGGCGAGGCAATTGCCATTGGATTTTCAAATGCCACGCCCCCCCCCCCCCCTCCCCCTTCAGATGTTCAACACCTTGTGTCAGGCACCCCTTGATGCCGTGCCCCCCCTCATGTCGGGCACCCCCCTCAGCCACGACCCCCCCCCCCCCCCCCTCCCCCCCTCCTCACGCCAGCCCCCCCCCCCCCCCCCTCCTATGTCAGCCTCCCCTTATGTCAGGGCGCCCCTCATACGAAAGCCCCCCATCATTCCAGGTGCCCTACCAGCTCCAAAAGAAAAACTAGCAGGCATCGCATCAAGCATCGCAAACAACACCACCAGGTAGACTCCAGAGGGCATCTACGCCATGGTAAGGGATGGCAGTGAGGGCCCAGCAAGCATCGCACCACGCATCGCATGCGCATGAGCACGATAAGCAACGCACATCGCAGCAACAAATATCACACTGCATCCAATCACCATCTCATCACCACCCCATCGTCAGCGCAGCCCATTTTTGGGGATCAAGCCACAAGGCTTCAGCTCGAGCCGCGCGGCTCGCCGCTTTCGATCTCGTAAGATATGCCAATCTCAATCGCACAGGGGCACGCGTGCGCGTCGACGGCTGATGGCACTCCTTTTCTTCAGAATTCGTGGGTTGCAAAAACAATGGAGGCAGGTGGCATAACGTTTTTGCATTGCGACAAGACCGACAGGCGCTTTGCAACACCCGTCAACCACGATTTCCGCATGCTCAGCGCGCTCACAAGAGCTCGCAACGTAGCGGCCAAGGAAAAGATGGCTGACGTTGGTCGCGATCGGTTGTCTGCGCCAGAGAGTTCTCCTCAGTTGAAAAAGGCCTCGAAGAGAACTCGTGGATGATATTGGCCCGTATGTATCAGTGTCAGCGATGCTCGCTGGCGGGTCCACGCGGTCTTGCAATGTGTTGTCATCCGCCAAAGAGAGGGACCGATTGGCAATCGAGATGACAGAAAGTTCGTTGGAGATCTTACGTGAAGCGCCTGCTGATGACACTGATGTGGTCGCCAGTTCCGTCGTTGTGAAGCAGGAGCACGTGCGCTGACTCCCTTGTAGGCGTGCGCTGAGAGTGCGGCACTGCGCCAATGGCGCATGGAAGCAGAAATCGGCGCAGGCGCCTAAAACCACAATCAAGTTTCAGGAGACGATTGACAATATTGCCGAACAGCTCGAGCAGTTTTACGCTGACAACCACGCCGATACTGACAGCGCAGCGCCCCCTCCGCTATCCTTGCAGGAGCGCGCCGGCACTGACAGCGCAGCGTCCTCTCCGCCGCCCTTGCAGGAGCATATGTGAACTGCAAGTGTTTGTCGGAGGTTGTGGTGCACCTGAGGTCGTGGGTGCTGCTCGCATAGCGTTGCTACTGCGCTCGTTCAGCAGTGCGCCGATAGCAGGTAGCGTGAGGGGCCGTGCTCGCTGCCGCTCGCCACTAGGGGTCGCTGTACGCGGTGGCGCTTGCCAGTTTGAGCTTCTTCAGTAAAAACAAACAGCGTTCGGAGGCACCTTGGAGGCGCGCGAGGGGGAGGGGCTGTAGAAGGAGGCCTGTCCAAATCAGTGCAGGTTCGCTCTCAGCAAGCACCAGAGGAGTGCGAAATGAGAGAAGCACGCGCGATGGGGTCTGCGAGAAGCGCGGATGGGGGGGGCATGCACCAACTCCCCAGGGACAGTTGGTGCATCAGCTGCCTCCTCGGGGGCCCTGGTGGGTCCGAGCCGCAGCCGGCACATTTCAGCCCTCAGCCCCTCAATTTTGAGCGTCGTGAGACGCCGCGGGGGGTCCAGAGCGCCCTGCCATCCAGCCGGCTGCGACGAGGTCTGGAGCTGCATGTAGGTAGCGGGGGGCGCGTGAGATGGAGCGGATTTGATGATACAGGAGGGGCGGGGAACCAGCACAACATGGTATAGCATCTCAGATCAGATGCAGACCAGCTCACAGCAGCAACATTTCTGAGTGCCCAGACCCTACACAGCCGAGTCGCCTCACCGACAGCTCACTTGCCATGGGCTACCGAAACACACAGTGTGTAGCCGTCTTTGGGCCCTAGCATCGCTTAGGTTTTGCTCGCCTCGCACCATTTCGACCAGCCCTCAAGTCATGGAGTTCGAGGCCCAACGTCTGTGTGACATCATGTCGCAGCGCTTGGCTTTCGTGGCCAGCCAGGTTGGCGCGGGGATGCCTGAGGCGGTCTTGCTTCAGGCCCAGGCGAACTCGCTCGTGGCCACCTTCGCCTCCTCGACGGCCATCAACTTGCAGGTGGCCACGCAGGCGACGCACCGCATCAACAGCGGACGGTGGACGCCCGACCAGAAGTTCCTGCTTGCGACGGCCTTGAACGACGCTGCCAGCGCGACTGAACTACAGAATAGGTCGGGGGCTCCGCGGTGCCAGCAGGCGCGCCCTGACCTGCAGTTTTTCCTCACGGCGTCCGACTGGAACTCCATGGTGGACCCCGTGCTTCCCGAAGTTGCGAAGGCATACGCCTTGGCCACTCGCACGTGGAGGCTGGGGATCACGCGACCGAACGAGAAGACCCAGATGGCTGCTGCTGCCATAGCCCTTACCTGCCACTACTCGGACGTCGCCACGGTCGATGCGGAGAAGAAGCGTTTCATAGCAGACAAGGTGCAGTCCAAAATCAAGGAGCTCGACAAGGCAAAGGTCTACCCCTACGGCCACAGGAAGACCTACACGACGCCGAGGTCGACGTCACGAAGATCACCATGGTCCACAGACGCTCGGCGACCGAGTTCAAGGGTAAGGCCAGCTCCAAGCCAAGCGCGCCATCGCCTGCCAGCTCGAGCGATCAGCCGCAATGCTTGCAGCCGGCGCTCCCCCCGAGTGCCCCGCGGCCTCAGCTACCGACCTGCCCCTTGCAGCTCTTGGCGGGCTTGGCCACTCAGGCGTTCGGCAACGGGGCTGCTGATGCGCTTACGCCCCTGATGCAGCAGTTCGGCATGCAGTTCCAGCAACAGCACTTTCAGCGCGCCAACATGCTGCCGTACTCGAGCACGCACCTTCCGCCAGTGCAGGCACTTGCAGATGCCCCACGCGACGGCGCAGGAGCGGCTGCCGCTGCTGTTGGGGCGGGAGGCATCCCTAATACGGCGCCCACGCAGTCGAAGACAGCCGACGCCGATGATGGCGACGAGGCTGCAACCCCCGAGGACGAGCTCGAGGCGCTCGAGTCGAGCATGCTGGCGGTCGCTAAGGCCAAGAAGAAGGGGGACGCGGAGGTTGCCAAGGGGTCATGCTCCAAGGAAAAGAAGGCCAAGGCCACGGCCACGGCCACGGCCAAGGCCAAGGCCAATGCCGCGGCAGCTCCTGCTGGAGGCGACCCGTTGGGCGTTGAAGGGCGCCAAGCTCCTGGGCGAGAGGGGTCGGCGAAGGCTACGGAGGGAAGCGAAGGAGCATGGCTGACGCCATCGGCCTGCCTCCCACTGAAGCCTCCACCATCCCATGCCGTCCATCGGCTCCGCCTTCATCGCCCCCCTCGGCGTCTACGAGGCAAGCTGCCGAAAGTCGACTCCCCCCCGTGGCTGTAGTTGGCGGGCGCCAAGGGCGCCATCCCGCGGAGCCTTCACCAGCCAGGCCTACGACAGCACGAAGAGGCTCGCAGACAAGATTGGGCATTCCTACGCCGACAGTGCGACGCTGGCCCGCGAGGCATATGCGGCGGCTGCCGAAGTTTGGGCAAAGGTGAACAAGAAGTAGGGCCCCGTGTACAGTGGAGCCTTCTTCTGACTATCACCTCCCAAGCGATGCGAGCGCGCCGCCGAGTGCCTGTCGAGGAGTTACGTGTCATACATCAGGGGTGTAGGTGCACATGCGGCACGACTCCGCAAGATCAGGCACGCAGCAAAACCGCACGTATGCTAGACACGTGCGTAAACAGATACGCGGGGAGGCACTCAGACCATCGCCCTGCAATCGCGAGTGTGCAGCCAAGCATCCTCATCATCATCAGCATCAACATCATGATCACCATCATAATCATCATCACCATTAACATCAACGGCACCCAGGTCAAAACACCACAACACATTACCATCGCAACCAACACTCGCATCAGCAACCACAATTCGATCACCACTGCACGGTCGCCCCAAGATGGCTGCAAGATGGCCCCAAGATGGCAATGAAAAAAGGGAGGGCAGGATGAGGGGTGGGCCCCATGACGGCTCCAAGATGGCTCCAAGAAACTGCGATGTTGAACGCATTGCCCCTCCACCCACCCACCTATCCCGATCAAGGTTCGAACGGACATTGCCGTTGTCGCCCCGACAATTCTGGTATGATGACACTCGGCACACACTGCGCTGTCCCAAGTTGCGAGTCGCTTCCGTTATATAGCCGTTTTGGCTCGTCGCGATGAGCGGCGCCAAGCGAATTAAGCTTGCGCGCCTTGGCCGCGACGCTCATGTGAGCGCCAGCGGTTTAGAGCGCATTCTCAAGCAGTTCCGGGGTGGCGGTGGCATGCTTCCCACTGCTTTCTCCACGTCAACACAGAGACGGGCGAGGCAAGCAATCGCGTTCCAGAGCACCACGTTCGGGAAATTGGTTCCATTTCGGACTGTGCCCCACAAGAAGGTCGGAGCCCCTC